ACTCCATCCTTCTTCCGTCCTCCTCCGTCCTCCTGGCCCCGCCCCTTCTCCATCTCAGCCGCGCCCCCCCGCCTTTCAGCTCGCCTCCTCACTGCCCTCCTCCGCCCTTTTTCTCCTCCTCCACCTCCTACACCCCCGCCTGTCTCAATCGTCGTCGCCGCCACGGTGCGCCGGGTGGTTTTCAGGCCGATCCGGGCAACTGCGGGAAACCTTCGACGAGGCGCAACTGCTGGAGGAAATCCCGAGGCGAGAAAGCCTCCAAGAGCCTCAGTCGTCGTCGTCGCCGTCGCCGCCGCCGCGAGGGCGCCGCCGTCGCCCCTCGCAGGCCGCCGTCGGGCCGTCGCCTGGGCGGCCGCCGCCGCGGGGGCGCCGCCCGGCTGGCCGTGGGGCCCTGGCGCCGCCCGCGCGGGCGGCTCGGCCGCGGCCGCACAGGAAGATTTGGTCCCCGCCGCCGCCGCGCCGCCCCCCTCGGCCCCGCCGCTGCACAGGATCTGCCTCGGGGCGGGGGGCGAGGATCGGGTGTCGCAACGAGCGGCGGGACTTCGCCCCCCGGAATCGCGGGGTTCGATCCCGTGGATGCGCGGCCGCACGGCCGCATCCCGGGAGGGGCACCCACGAGAGAACACCCCGTGTCCATGGGGTCGCGGCCCAGAGGCCGGGCCTGGCCCGCGAGGAAGTGAAGAGCTACAAGAGGGGGGGGGAAGGCAAGAGGGGGGGGGAGGCGAGGTTCGGCGCTCGAGGATCGGGCCGGGGCTGGAGAATTGGAGCCTTTGCGACCTTCGGGCGGCTTCTTGGGGTTTGTGTTCAGGGCCTCCCGAGGCCTAAGCAAGACCTTCGATGGACGGGAGGGGCGGGGGAAGAGGGGGGCAGGGGAAGATGGGGGGACGTGGCGCGGAGGGCGAGAGGGTGGAGAGCTGCGGGGGCGACGGGAAGGCCAAGAAGGCAGGGGCGCAAGGAGAGCTCTTAACATCCACTGGGGAGGCCAGGCAACCAGGGTGTGCGACGCTGCTCTGCGCGGCCGCATGCTCACGGGCCCCCCGTCGCCGTGGGCAGGCCGCGCCCCAAAAGACCCTCCTGTCAGCGCGTCCAGCCGCCGCCTCGGAAGCCTTCGAAGCCTGCCCCGCTGCTCTTGCCGAAGCGGCGGGTGACCCCTGCCGCCCCCTCGGCAATCGGCCCCAACGCCGCGTGAACCACATGACGGTTGCCAGGCACATGTCGACGCACACGTAGCACGGCGGCACTCCCTCTACGCACTGCTTCCACGCCGCGCCCGCGCCGACCACGCAGCCGTCGAAGGTGTGCTCCTCGCCTTCGGAGCCCAGGCCTTCCGCGCCATTGCCACCGCCGTCATCGGCAAGGAAGAAACACGCGACGCCGTCGTAGACGTCGGGCGTCGATCCTGACAATGGGGCAGGCGCGCGCCATCCTCGCCCCCCTGGGCTCACGGGCGCAGCGAAGCTGAGGGCATGCAGCGGCGCTGCCACTACCGTCAACGGGCCACTGCGCTTTGCGGCGCGCACTTGCTGCCGCGCCTTCTGCTTCCCCTCGCGGGGGGCTGTCTGCGCGGCCCCCGGCCTCGCTGGGACCTGCAGCGCATCGCCGCGGGTCACCCGCGCCACTTAGACGGACCGAAGGCTGCCCCAGCTGTCCCCCTTGCACTGCCGGTCGCCGACGCGCGGCGGGGATCGTCAGTGCCTGCCACGGCCCGCGGGATCCGTGCCGTTTGGAGGTTGTTCGCGGGGCCCCCCACCCGCGCCTGGACCTGCAGCGCGGCGCCGGCGCTCACCTCCGCACCGAGGATGGACGCGGCATTGCCCCCGTTGCCCGCCGAGGACGACGCGGCATTGCCATCGTTGCCCTTCCTGCTCTGCCGGTCGCACACAGCCAGCGGACTGTCTTTGATGCTCACCTCGTCGGCGGACATTTGTCTGCCGTCGGCGCTGTCTACCCCGATGGTGTCGAGCGCCCCGCCCCGGCCCTCTGGCTTCGCGCCAGTAGCGCCGGGGTCCGCCGAACCCTCCCGCGCCGAGTGCATGAGCGCCTCCAGCGCCTCGCGCGCGCCGTCCGATTGCTCCGTCAAGCGCCGCCCGGCAGTCAGGCCTGTAGCGACAGCCTCGGCCGCCGCGCGCGGGGCGGGCCAGCTGCCTGCCAGACGCCCAGCGCGTCCCCGCCCCCTCTCAACCCGAGCACCGCGACGGCGTCGCCACGGGTCGGAACTGCGCAAGAGCCCTCCCGGGCCATGCCCGCACAACAACACCGCGCGGCCGCGGCTGGGGCGAGGCCTGGGAGCTCCGCCCGAGACAGGGCAGGGCCTCGCCCCGCCCCTCTGGAGGCGGGTGGCCCCAGGTGGGCGGGCCCAAGAAGCTGGAATCACTCCGTGCAACCAGAGGAGGGGGCATCGCCGACGCTGGGTTGCCACACTAGCAACAAAGGGCTGCAACTCGTCAAAATATCCATCTGCATCTTTATAGCATGCCCACCCTCGACGGCTCATCGACACCACATCGAAGACAAAGCTGGAAAAAACACGCGGCCACTACCAACCATCCTGACTCGCGGCCTCTGGCCTCCTGAAACAGCCGCGCTTCGCAGACCCAGGAACTTGAACTCGCCATGTTCCACGATCCCACGGCCCCCGCGGCGAGCCACAAACACATCTTCGCTCACAAGCTCCAGCCCACTCCCTTCGCAGCGCCTCATCGCCTGGCGCCGCCACTTGATAGCAATCCCGCCAGCCAACTCGCGTGACAGTTGAATGATCGGGAGCGGCCAAGAGGGGGGTGTCCAAGAGGGGGGGGTGCAAATCATGACCGGCGGCATGTGCGCGGCCCAGCGGGGGGGCCAGGGACGTGATGAGATAAGAAGAGGCGCCATGAAATCTGGGAAATATCATGGCCCCCACCACGATATCCCCCCCCCCTAGCCATCACCCCCCGCTTTTCCGCCCCCGAAGTGAAGTCCACGCGGTGAGGCTGCAGCAACCCGGGCCCCCCCACCCTGGGGAGCTACAGAGCATGATCTCCCCTCGCCGCGCGGCGAGCCCCCAGGGGAGCGCTCCCGCGGGCACCCCTCTATAGCAGGACATAGTCACGGCTGCCGCGGCGCCGGTGGGGCCTCGGACCCAGCGCCACACGGCTCTCTCGGTATCGCTCGGACGTCCATTTCCCGTGCATGTTTCGGTGTCGTGCGTGTGTTTTTTGCTCGATGGTCCAGGATGGTCCTCGATGGTTCTCGCCGGGAAAAAAAATGCACACGCCCGAGCGATGCCAGGCTCTCGGGGGCAACCAACGAGGCCGGAGGAACGACTGCGCGCGAGCAGCCCGAGGGCGCGGGGGCGTGGCGGATCGCCGCGCTACTGCTCATTCGAAGAGCAGCTGCCGACGCCATTCAAAGGCGGGCTCTGCTCGCCCCATGCGCAGCGACAGAAGGGCGCTAAACAGCGGCGCGCCCCCTTCCCATCAATCGACCGAGACGCTCGCCGTCGTCGCAGAAGCATCGCAGCTGGAGGGAAACCATGGCACTGCTGACCGCGAGAGGCCTGCGAGAGCCCCCTGTGGTCCACGATCATTGCGCGATATCATGTAAACAGGCTGAACGACGGAGCCCCTGTATTCGATCGGAGCGTTTCGCCGCCTGCTTCAGGTACTCCTTCGATTTAGCTGACCTCCTGGCCTTGCCTCGAGCGGCGCCCGCTCCTTCATCGACAGCCGCCTTCGCAACCTACAACGGGGCATCTGGACTCGCGGGAAAAAGCTGCCCCGACCATGTCGCCGGGCCCTCCGGCGCGCACGCTGGACCAGTCTCATCAGAGTTGACCTCTGCTCGCGGAGCCCCTCGGCCAACGCAGACAAAGCACCAGCTACGCCGGTCCCCCGAAGAGAACGCCGACCCGGAAAAACGCACGCCTCAATTGTGATGGCGGTCGACGGAAATCCCACCTGATCAGCAATCTGCAAGACAATGAGCAAGACTTTGCGAGTGGGGGTCCTGGCTGGGGGTGGGGGTCTCGCCATCGCTCGGACGTCCATTCTCTGTGTTTTTTTCGGTTTCGTGCGTGGTTTCTTCGCCAAATGATCAAGGATGCTCCTCGATGGTCCTCGCCGAAGGAAAAATGCACACGTCCGAGCGATGCCGAGGGGTGGGGGTGGGCTGTGCTGTCCTTAACCCACGCCGTGCTCCCGCGCCGTGCAGCGAAGCCGCGTGGCCTCTGCGGAGGCCGCAAGCTTGCCCGAGGGGGCGGAGACGGAGGGAGGGAACGAGGGGGAAGCACTGGCATCGGCATCGGCACCTGGCTCCTCGTCGAGGGGGCACGGCAGGGGGGGGGCTGCATCAGGAGGGGACACCTGGCATCGGCATCGGCACCTGCTCCTCGTCGAGGGGGCACGGAGGGGGGGGGGGGCTGCATCAGGAGGGGACACGTCGGTCTGGGATCGGCGATGCATCACCGACAGATCGGCGACAGGCCCCGGATAGCTGTAGACTCCGCAGGCTCCTGGGCGGGGCGGGCTATCGGGCACCCCCTGGCGATTCACGGGCGACTCGGGGCAGACACATCCCCCCTTGAGCCTATCCCCCCCAGCGATGCCCCTGAGGCATCGGATGGCATCGGCATCGGCCCCTCTGAGGTATGAGCCTACCCTGGGGCGGGCCACGCATGTCAATACCCACCGCCTGCCGAGGTCACCGAGGATCGATCCCCCAAGCTGAAGGGGCCCCAGGACACACAAATAAATACACACAAATAACACATATTCCCCATATGTTCCCATTTTTTCTGGGTTTCTGTCTTCCCCCCCACTTCCCAGATTTTCCCATATTTTCTGGGGAATCGAGGATTAATTGTGTCTGTGTGTTTTTTCCTCTCCTGACAAGCGGTGGTCATGGACGAGCCCCCTCCTCGGACGTCCCTCTTCCGCGTCGCCGGCCGGCGCTCCTCCATGGCCCTCCCCCCCCCGGCCCGCCTCAGGAAGCCCAGCGCCTCCGGGCCCAGGCGCGGCCTCCTGCGCAGAAGGAAGGGAAACAACAGCACGAACAGAATGCGGGATGACGATTAACAAAAAAAATGGGAGAGAACGATTTCAAGAAGTAGCTTCTGCTACTTCTGCACAAGTTTCTGACTGGACGAGAACGATTTAAAATAATAGTTTTCCAGCCCGCGGCCGGTTCTTTCTAATCGTCATCCCGGGCGCCGCCGCGTGAACACGACCCCCGGTCATTTATTAATCGTCATTCTCCATTATAAACTTGCGGCGCTCCGCGCGGATATCTTGGATCCGCGCTGGACCCCCCCCTCCCTGGCTCGCGGAGCGCGCCACGGGCGGCGCCGGAGGCGCCGCCGGGGGGGCCCAGCGCGGATCCAAGAAATCCGCGCGGAGCGCCACAAGTTTATGTTTGTGCCGTTGTTGCTTCTTCGACTGTGGGACGGCGGCGGTGGCCGGCGGGCGCTCTGGTCCAGGAAGCACGACACCCCAGACCCCGAGCAGCTTTGGGAGGGCCACGGTGGAAGCCACGGTGGGGCACCGAGCTTGAAGGCCGGGGGTCCCCCACTGGGCGCTGTACAAAAATTATCCCGGCAAAGCAACCTAACAACGATGTGTAGGAGCATATCTGGAAGCATTCCCCGTAAGATTAAGATGAGAATCCAGTGGTAGAATTATGCTGTCCTCGCAGTCGTAGTCGCATGCGCAATGACAGTCGCAGTGACAGCCTCAGCCTGCCTCAGCCTCAGACTCAGCCTCAGCCTGCCTCAGCCTCAGCCTGCCTCGGCCTCAGCCTCAGCCTGCCTCAGCCTCAGCCTCAGCCTGCTTCAGCCTCGGCCGCAGTCTGCCTTCAGCCTTCAGCCTGCTTCAGCCTCGGCCTCAGCCTCAGCCTGCCGCAGCCTCAGCCTCAGCCTCAGCCTCAGCCTCAGCCTCAGCCTCAGCCTCAGCCTCAGCCTCAGCCTCAGCCTCAGCCTCAGCCTCAACATCAGCCTCAGCCTCAGCCTGCCTCAGCCTCAGCCTCAGCCTCAGCCTGCTTCAGCCTCAGCCTCAGCCTCAGTCTGCCTTCAGCTTCGGCCTCAGCCTCAGGCTGCATCAGCCTCAGCCTGCATCAGCCTCAGCCTCAGCCTCAGCCTGCCTCAGCATCAGCCTGCCTCAGCCTCGGCCTCAGCCTGCCTCTGCCTCAGCCTCAGCCTGCTTCAGCCTCAGCCTCAGTCTGCCTTCAGCGTCGGCCTCAGCCTCAGCCTGCCTGCCTCAGCCTCAGCCTCAGCCTGCCTCAGCATCAGCCTGCCTCGGCCTCAGCCTCAGCCTCAGCCTCAGCCTGCCTCAGCCTCAGCCTCAGCCTGCTTCAGCCTCGGCCTCAGTCTGCCTTCAGCCTCGGCCTCAGCCTCAGCATGCCTCAGCCTCCCTCAGCCTCAGTCTGCCATCAGCCTCAGTCTCAGCCTCAGCCTGCCTCAGCATCAGCCTGCCTCAGCCTCAGCTTCAGCCTGCCTCAGCCTCAGCCTCAGCCTGCTTCAGCCTCAGCCTCAGTCTGCCTTCAGCGTCGGCCTCAGCCTCAGGCTGCATCAGCCTCAGCCTGCATCAGCCTCAGCCTCAGCCTCAGCCTGCCTCAGCATCAGCCTGCCTCTGCCTCAGCCTCAGCCTGCCTCAGCCTCAACCTCAGCCTGCCTCAGCCTCAGCCTCAGTCTGCCTTCAGCCTCGGCCTCAGCCTGCCTCAACCTCAGCACCAGCCTGCCTCAGCATTCAAAATATGGCCCAGGAATGGAGTTCTTGGAACTCGAAGAACACGAAGTGGCCTACAGTTGGCTCCGGGCATTCAAAATCATGCCCAGGAATGTAGTTTGGGGAACTCGAAAACCACGAAGAGGCCTACAGTTGGCTCCGGGCATTCAGAATCATACCCAGGAGTGGAGCTTTGGGAACTCAGACCACGAAGTGGCCTACAGTTGGCTCAGGGCATTCACAATGTGGCCCGGGAATGGAGTTCCGGGAACTCGAAGAGCACGAAATGGCCTACGGTTGGTTCCGGGCATGGGAGTTGTGGGACCTCGCAGACCACGAAATGTGCAACTGTTTGCTTACAGCGACATCCGCGGATCCCTGTCCGGATGCCGCCCAAACCCCCTTCTGGGGAGTCATGATGCTCTCTTTTGCCACTACTAGAAACCTGTTTGTCTTCGCTGTTATATGAAAACCTTGCACGGACGAGCTGCTCAGGGAAAGATCGCCTGGGGGCGACGAGGGAATGCCACCGATATGCGATAGAGGGTGGCCCTGGGGGTTTTGCCCGGAATGCCCCCTCTCTCGGGCGTTGGCAGAACTGGGTTTAGTGGAACCTGGTTTAGTGATGTGTACTGGGGGACGCCCCCCCCCCCGCGCCCCGCTCCACTAACCGGAACGGCCGTCGGGTGACACCAGCTACGGCAGACCTGATTTAGTGATTCTGGCCAATTCAAGGGCCCCAGGGCCCTACCACTAACCTGGTCCCCTTGCCTGGGTTTCTGGCTATACCCGACTCTCTTTTACACTGCCTGATTATGTGGAAGGGAACTCGGGGATTGGTGGCGAGAGATCTTATGCGACCCCAGAAATCCGAAATCGTGCTTCGCTCTGTGCTGGCCGCTCTTCTTCGGCTCTTCTGGCCTGCAGCGGCCCAGCTCTGGCCCGCAGGACCGTCGAAGACTGGTCGGGGGAAAAAACTAGCCTCCCAGAGGGAATCGGGACTTCGATTAAGTCGGGCGTGTCCCCCTACAGGGGGATTTTCAACGAAAAATAAGATATACTCAAATTACCCAGGGACGTACCCAACCCTTTGGCAACAAGTGGCATTACCAACTGGCGCTTTCAAAATAGCAGAACATCCGCTGGACGTCCAAGAGGCCCACGAAAGCGACGACCATTGCATTATTGGCAATCGCCGCTCTTGAGGGTCAAGCGGTGTACTTCGCTCAACGAAGAATTAGCGCCCCGCGCTCTCGAGGGACAGCGCTGTGCACTGCGCTACAGGACGGCGCCGCGCGACCGATCAGCGAACAGCGTTCTGCGCTCGATCCAGGGCCGCGCCAGGGCCGCGCATCGGTGTCCACATACTGGCTGCACCAGGGCCGCGCCTTCTGGGCAAAGGCGGCTCCACGGGCGGCTTCCTGTCGCACGGAAAAAGTCCCTCTGTCGCACTGGCAGGGCAGGTTGCACAGGCGGCCGCTCCGCGGCCACCCCTTGTGGCCATCCGAACTGCGTCCGGCCGTGATGACAAGGGGCGGCTTGAGGCGACCGCCTCGCTGCCTGGCTGGCTGCCTCGTGGGTTACCTCGTTAGCCGCCTCGCTGGCTGCCTCGTGGGCCGCCTCAACGGCTGCTTTTTTTTTGGCTCCAATGCACTTGCTGACGCTGGTGTTCCTGGTGCTGCTGCAACTGGTGCCGGTGTTGCTGGTGCTGCTGCAGGTGGTCGGAGGAGGGTAGTGCTGGTGCTGCTGGTACCTGTAGCAGAAGAACAATATTTTGCTGTTTCGGTCGCACCCCATTATCATGGGCCTGTTGCTGTGGTTTGGGCCTGTAGCCTTAGCTTTAGCTCGGGCCTGTAGCTGTAGCAGGAGAGTAGTATTCTGCTGTTTCGGTCGCACCCAAATCGCCCTGCTCACAGCAACTCCTCTGGACATCGTCGTTGGAAACCTGACCGACAAATCCCGATAGTCGGTACTCTTCGCTAGAGTGGCTGTCTTGGGCCGTCTTGGGGCCTCGTGGGCAGTCTTCGGGCCGTCTGGAAAGCCTCTTGGGCCGTCTTGGGGCAGTATTGGGTGCCTCTTGAGCCGTCCTGTAGCTCCGGAAAGCCGAAAAGACGAGAAGGCCAACATCCTTCAAAAACAATCGTAAAATTCTTGGTTTTGGCCTCTCGGGGCCCTCCCATGAAGCCTTTTGGAGGCCTCTTGGAGCGTCTTGGAAGCCTCTTGGGCCGTCTGGGGCCCACCTTGAACGTCCTGGAGCGATCGTTCGGCGTCTCAGGAGCCCAGCCCACAAAAGTGCCGACAGTTGCGCAGTTGGCAGCTCCCCCCGCAGGGAGCCGCGAGGTCCCGACGCGATCCGCGTGTACCCCAACTCCGCTGGGCCCAGGAGCCCACGAAAGTGCCAACAGTTGCGCAGTTGGCAGCTCCCCCCGCAGGGAGCCGCGAGGTCCCGACGCGATCCGCGTGTCACCCCACTCCGCTGGGCCTCCCAGGAGCCCACGAAAGTGCCGACAGTTGCGCAGTTGGCAGCTCCCCCCGCAGGGAGCCGCGAGGTCCCGACGCGATCCGCGTGTAACCCCACTCCGCTGGGCCTCCCAGGAGCCCACGAAAGTGCCGACATTGCGCAGTTGGCAGCTCCCCCCGCAGGGAGCCGCGAGGTCCCGACGCGATCCGCGTGTAACCCCACTCCGCTGGGCCTCCCAGGAGCCCACGAAAGTGCCGACAGTTGCGCAGTTGGCAGCTCCCCCCGCAGGGAGCCGCGAGGTCCCGACGCGATCCGCGTGTACCCCACTCCGCTGGGCCTCCCAGGAGCCCACGAAAGTGCCGACAGTTGCGCAGTTGGCAGCTCCCCCCGCAGGGAGCCGCGAGGTCCCGACGCGATCCGCGTGTACCCCCACTCCGCTGGGCCTCCCAGGAGCCCACGAAAGTGCCGACAGTTGCGCAGTTGGCAGCTCCCCCCGCAGGGAGCCGCGAGGTCCCGACGCGATCCGCGTGTAACCCCCACTCCGCTGGGCCTCCCAGGAGCCCACGAAAGTGCCGACAGTTGCGCAGTTGGCAGCTCCCCCCGCAGGGAGCCGCGAGGTCCCGACGCGATCCGCGTGTACCCCCACTCCGCTGGGCCTCCCAGGAGCCCACGAAAGTGCCGACAGTTGCGCAGTTGGCAGCTCCCCCCGCAGGGAGCCGCGAGGTCCCGACGCGATCCGCGTGTAACCCCCACTCCGCTGGGCCTCCCAGGAGCCCACGAAAGTGCCGACAGTTGCGCAGTTGGCAGCTCCCCCCGCAGGGAACCGCGAGGTCCCGACGCG